GCGGCGGATCCCGGGGCTGCTGCTCCGAGCCCCGCCGGATCCTGGCTCCGGGCCCCATCGGATCCCGGTTCCAGCCGTGTGAGATCCTGGCTCCGGGCCCCATCGGATCCCGGTTCTGAGCCGTGTGAGATCCTGGCTCCGGGCCCCATCGGATCCCGGTTCCAGCCGTGTCGGGTCCCGGTTCCGGCCGGCAGGGCAGCATCACTGACACTGATCAGTGTCACCGCAGCAGCGCTGCCCGCAGGCTCTGCCCTGCTCTCACCGGGCCCCTTCCAGCCACGCGCAAAGCTCATTTCCCCCTTCCAGAGTTCTTTTAATGCAGTTGAAAGAGCCCCGAGGGATTTTGGAGGAGTTGTCTTTGCTCAGGCAGAGACTGTGGAATTACGGAACTCGGATTCTGTACGGGTCTCTAGTATGGGGTGTTTTTCTTGGAGAGAAACTGCTTCAAATGTCATTCTTCTTTTTTTTCTAAGGGCTTTATTGGAGAATATGGCATATGGATCTTGTTCAGTCTGCAGTCCTGTACAGTGTCATGACCCTCATCAGTACCTATCTCGTGGCTTTTGCATACAAAAACGTCAAGTTTGTCCTCAAACACAAGTAAGCTTGGTGCCTCTTTGAATTTATCGTTTAATAACTTAACAAAACTGCCATTTACTACTGTAGTTTTTTATTAATAAGAAATGTTACTCAAAAAATATTTTGCACAGAAGTATCTCCTAATTGGTTTCTGTTGTTCTCTTGTAACTATAGTCAAATCTTGTCAGCTAAGATTATGGTGAAATAGTAAATCCACCATCATGCTCCTTGGGTAGCACCACAAATTATGCTTAAATTATAAATTATATTACTTATTGGATGTAAATTATATTACCTTTAGTAATTGCTGTTACTGTTTCTTTTCCCTTCACCTTGACAAAACTGTTGAGTATCTTGGCTAAGTTGTATTCTTCACTGTACCTAAAACTTCCTGTAATGCCAGGGCTGTGCTGTGGGGTTTTTTTTATTTCTGAAGTGTGACATGAGTGGTGGTACTTACAGAGTAGCCCAGAAAAGAGAAGATGCTGTTTCCAAGGAGGTGACTCGCAAGCTGTCCGAGGCTGACAACAGGAAGATGTCACGCAAGGAGAAGGATGAAAGGTGATCCCTCTGTCCTCCTCCTTCTCTCCCTTGTTGAGGGAGGGCCTTAAATGTCTTTGGGGCTCTGGGTGGGGCAGTAGGCACTGTGCTTGGCACTGTTTTTCTGTATTCTGGGAAGCAGCAGCTGCAGGGTAGCTCGTGGCTCAGCTTCAAGCCCTTTTGAGGCGAGTTGTCAAGGGAAGGTCCCAGATGCACTCAGTGTTAGAGGGGATCCCCACTGGGACTGTGCAGGATGGGAGCTGTGGAGCCAAACTCTCTGTCTTCCGGAAAAACTACTGCACACTTCATCATGTGGGTGTCCAGGATATCCCCTGGATCCCTGGCAGTGCCCAAGGCCAGGCTGGACAGGGCTTGGAGCAGCCTGGGACAGTGGGAGGTGTCCCTGCCGTGGCAGGGGTGGAGTGGGATGAGCTTTAAGGCCTCTCCCCACCCAAGCCATTCCAGGATTCTGTGATACCCATTGATTTAAATATATTTGAAATTTTATCTCCACTTGCTCCTAGAATTCTCTGGAAGAAGAATGAAGTTGCAGACTACGAAGCCACAACTTTCTCCATCTTCTACAACAACACCCTCTTTCTGGTCCTGGTTATCATCGCTTCCTTTTTCGTGCTGAAGAACTTCAACCCCACTGTGTATCCTTTATCCCCACCCTAAAACCCCCACAGCCCCACTCCTGTTAGCTGTCACCACCAGCTGTGGTTGTCCTGTGGGCTGTGGCATTCCTCTGATATGTGCAGCTCATTGTAGTACAGCAGCTTAGAATGTCGAAACAAAAATAAGAGCTTACAAAAATAAAATGTCCCACTTAAAGTCTCTTAAAACATGAGATGTTTTAAGGATATTGCTTGGACAGTATACAGGAATTCTCCTGGCTTTGCTGTTTCCATTGTAATTGTGGAGTGAGGACACAGCTCAGTTTCCTGCAAACACAGTGTCAGTGTTGGTCGCCAGGAGCTCTTCCCTGACAGGATGCTCTAGCTCCAGTAGCTCACAAGTAAAATGTTTTGTTCCTGAAGGATATTAGTATTGCCAACAGGGCAGTTAATTCAATGTCTGTATTTATAAGTCCTGTAAGAGAACAGGCTGAACTTCCTGGGTGCCTTAATTCTGAAGGTCAGTTCTGAAGCTGTGTTTCAGGTTGCAGTTTTCCAGTTTTAAAATTGCAGAGAAAGACCATTTCAGTTCCTTCCTTTTCATAAAACTCCTACCAAATGTTGTGTACCAGAAAAGGATCTTGACAATTCCTTAACCTGTTCCCTACAGAAACTACATCCTTTCTATCAGTGCTTCCTCAGGACTGATTGCTCTGCTGTCCACAGGATCCAAGTAGACACAAAACCCTCAGCAGTTCCTGTGAGAGGCTTCAGCTGCCATGAAAATGCCTAAGGGTGGAATAGGAATATTTTTTTTTAGCATGAGGAAAACATGGGGAGGGTTTGAATCCAAAATGGTTGAATTGTATTTACTTTTGGTATCTTTACATGGTATTTGATATTGGAGTTACTCAGTTTTTGATTTTTTTTACTTAGCAAGAAGAGGGTGTGTGAGCTGTGAGCAGACACATCTTTCTGCAGCTCCACCCTGGGGACAATCCATTTATCATTGTAACTTGAAAAGTTGTAATTAAAAGGAGCTTTTTTTTTGCCATTTGATTCCTTGTATTTTCATTCTTCTTTTTTTTTTTTTTTAATGGGAATTTCCATATCTAGGTTTGTCAACTCTTTCTGCTTCCAGAAGAGAGGAGACTTCTACAAGCTAACATATTCCTTAGAAGCACTCCTCATTTTTGAGTAACGTGGAGTCAGGACAAAACCTAAATCTCCTAGGAGAACACTTTTGAAGTGGTTTGAATGCACTTTTTTTTTCATTAATCTTCAAAGTTGTAAATAAATAAAAAACCCTGCCAGTCTCCCTGCACAGCTTAAGGAAGATACTTTCGCTGGCTTTTAATAATGGATTTATCAGACAATCCTGTGCCTTCTCTTCTGGCTACCACTGGAGCAGCTGTTCACTTAAATGCCAAACTCTACTGATATTAATGGAATTCCAGTTACAGATCCTGCCATTACAGACTTGGGATCCTAAAGAGAGAAGAAAGTTTTGAATCTGATTTAATGTAACAATTACTCTGCTAATCTTGGCTTCAATAAGATTAAATGGAAAATAGAGCAAGGAGACTGTGATGAGCAGGAGACAGTAATGGCTCTGTTTTTGAGAAATTCAAGTACTTTTGGCCATTTAATACTCTTGAATTAACTGTTTTCTCTTAAAATACATAGAATTTTCTTTATCCCTTCTGCCTGACTATTCAGCACTGGAAGGACACATTCCCTAAAGCTGCTGCCTGCCTTGGACAATTTCCCTTTCCTTGGCCTGACTTCTTACAAGGGATCTAATTGATGGGTTTTAGCTGAGTATTTAGCTCACATAAAGCAGATTTTTAACAGCCCTCTCCAAACAGCCAGAGCCCAACTCCAAGCCAGGCTGGCTCCTCTGGGAGCAGCAGGACTTGGATGTTGCTGGTTTTGCTCTGTTGCTCTCAGAGCCCCCAGTGCTGAACCCAAACCCTTGAACTGACAATGTTATACTCACTCTCCTGGCAGGGCTTTAGCAGGTGTATTCCCCAGAAAATCTGCTGTCTGCAAAGTGCTTGGAAGCAGCACTTTCTTCTGCCATTACTGTCGGCTCACTGAGTCTTTTATTACCAGCTTTTCATCTTCTCTTAGGGCTTTTTTGGTATTGACAGTTGCTGAGGCCTGGAGCTTAGCGTGTCAGAATTTTCCTGGAGAGGGAACATTGAGCACTGACAGCCTGAAACAAAAGCAGGTGGGTGGGTGGGGTGGGTTGTGTTCTGCAAAAAACCTAATCTTGAGCCTTCACAGAAAGGTTTGGGGCTTTTTTTGGTTGGCATTTGGATTTTTGTTCACTTTTCCAGGTTTGGGGATTTTTTTTTTTTTCCAGAGCTGGTGTTTGGTTTTTCCCTTGCAATCCCCACTACAAGTTGCAATGTTAAATAAAAAATTCATTATAAAATGCTGAAATTATATTTCTATAGTCTAATGCTGGGAGTTAACCTGAAGCAGGGCTGCTGCTTGGCCCCACATTGCCCTCAGAGCCTGTAAGGGAAAATGTCATCTCCTCAATTAAAGTTGGGGATTGATCTAGTTTTAATACATTATTGGATTCCCAAGTACATGAGAAGGGGAAGGGAGAACATTAAATTGTACCTCCAGGGGGAGGAAAAGGAATTAGTCTGTTACTGGGAGGATAATTATATTAAATTAATAAAGCTGTTAACTGAGAAACGGTTGAAGCTCAGTAAAAATTAACAGTGGTAATGCAGCACTGTTCCCAGGGCAGGGCAAGGTGGGCTCCACCCCAGCTGGCTGGGACTGGCCAGTGTCACCTGGGGACAGCTGCACTGGGCTCATTCCAGGCCAAATCACAGAGCATGGCTTAGAAAGGAACTTAAATCCCACCCAGTGCCACCCCTGCCATGGCAGGGACACCTCCCACTGCCCCAGGTGCTCCAGCCCCAGTGTCCAACCTGGCCTTGGGCACTGCCAGGGATCCAGGGGCAGCCACAGCTGCTCTGGGGTCTGCCCACCCTCCCAGGGAGGAATTCCTTTCCAAAATCCCATCCATCCCTGTCCCCTCCCTGTCAGGCCAGGACAGACCTTACCTGGGACTGCTGTGCTCCTTGGGGACTGGCTGCCAGCAGCACCTCGGGGCCAGCCCAGCTCCCTCCTGTCCCTCCTGGAATGTTCCCTGTGGAACAGCACCCCCCATCCTCAGCACAAAGCCCTGCTGGTCCAGAGCAGCTCCAGTGTCAGTAACAGGTCTGCAGCTCTCAGGGTAGATGCACAAAATGCTTTTATTGTGTCCAAGCAGAATTCCAGTCAGACTGCATTTCTCATGTACAGCAGGAGTCATTTACACACACCACAGCTTCAAATACAGGAGGAGACCACTCAGGTGTGGGGAGCTGCTCACCTGGCCCAGGTGAGCGCTGCAGGGGGCAGTACAAGGGTCCTACAAATACTGTACAGAGCTGTGTCCCAGCAGGGACGGGAGAAATACAGACTGAAATCAGAGCGTGGTACAGAGCAAATCCTCGGGAAGGTACAACGGGGGCTTGAGCTGGGCGAATTAGGACGTAAATTCTTCCTGTCATCTCCTGTAAATGCTCACAAAAATCTGTTTAAAATGTGTCTGTGCATTTACTTATCCCCGTTTCCAAAGCAAGTGGAAGCAGGGGTAGCCTTTTGGAGTACGTACCTGATTGTTCCTGCAGTTCTCAGCAGCTATATATTGTATATATTTATAGTATCTAGCTCCTTAAAAGCTCCTGAATATTGAAATTTGCAGTAGCTCTGTCTACAAGCAGGCAGAAGTAGAGGCAGGTTTCTATAGATGCAAAACCCAATATTTGATCATGGCTTTCTTGGCTTAAGGTTTATGGAGAAGTAGAACTTTGCAGAGCTGTCGTGTTCAGTAACCTGACATGCGTGTTTGGGCTTCCTAGCACTGCTCCAGGGTGCTGCCCAGGAGCACTCCACAGCTGGAACAGCTGTAAAATTAGGAGCTGAACTATCTAATTGCTAACTAGTTCTCTGTCTTACAGCCTTCATTCAACTACAAAGAAATCCTAGAGCTTCTATTCAGCGTAAAAAAAGCAAAGTTTGAGCTTGATCCTTCCATCTGTTAACCTGAAGAAACTTTATAGTTGAGATTTCCCAAACATGGTTTTATTAAAACCTGAAGTTGTATCTGGCTTTTCTTCATTGAAAAAATAGATCTGTACATCCTTCTTTAATTACCAAGTACCTGAAGGTTATAAATTTTTTCTTTTTTTTTTTTTTTTTTTGCTTTACAAGTGTTTGTCACAGCACAAGCATGAGGTGCAAAGAGTAAAGTAAAAATTAATGAACTCGGTCAAGAAGGTAAGAAAATACAAGGTTATTCTTGGTTAGAAGAGAGATCAACTGTGCTTTTAAATTCACTGCAGAGTAGTAGCAAGAGCACACATCTCGAAGGATCCAGTGACAGTAGACACCGAGCAGCAAGTGCTGAATGATTCTCATGAGAGTAATTCAGGGCTGTACTGGAGTACAGAGCACTTCTAAACCATGCAGTCCAGGAAATTCATGCATTGCATTAGGATCTGTAGTCCTTCTTGCTGTAGGGCTTGTTGCCCAGGATATTATCTATTTCATTTACAATATGGGATGTCATCTTTGGAAGGACCTGGGGTGGAAGAAAGCGATGCTTAATCGAGATAGTTCCAAAATGAAACCTAGATTTTATCAAAGTACATTTCCTCTGGGCTTTTTGTGTGACAGATATTAAGTATTCATCTAATAACTTTCTCCCTTAAAGGAAAAAAACACTGGAGGATCTTTACTTGGTGAGAGAATCACAGCAGAGCCTCTCAGCTTTGTGTGTGGAATATTGCCTGGCTGCAGTGGGACACGAGCTGGGGCAAGGACAGCAGAGGCAGAGGAAGCTCTGACTGGGGAAAAACAACAGGGAATAATCAAGGTGGGTGCAGGTGACACGTGGCAGCACAGAATCTGTCACAACATGCCCTGGACTCACTGGCATTTTTCAGGTGCATGAAAGCTGCTGATGCCACCCTCGTGTCACTGGACAACGACCCCAAAGGTGCTAAGCCATGGGGACAGCAGGGGTGGGCCTGATGAGGGTGCATGGATGGAGCTGAGACAGAATGCTGAGTGCCAGCCCTGTGCTGAGTGAGAGAAGGGGGTGCTGAGGTCTGGGGGTGTCTCTCTCCACGGAGGTGCCACCCCTGCACTCACCTGGATGGCTCCGAGGTTCTCGATCAGCTGCTCGGGGTTGGAGGATCCCAGAAGGACAGAGCTCACCCCCTCATTCCTCAGGCACCATGCTGGAACAAAGGCACAAGGTGCTCAGGGCACAGAAGGGCTGGCAGGGCCTTGCTCCAGTCCCTGGTGTTTGACAGAGCCTCTGTCTCTGCTTGACAATAATCCCATTCTTTGTCTCAACTTTGCTCCTCTGGCACTACCCAGGGGAAGATGCACAGATCAAATAGCAAACCCCACAGATCTTCCAGGATCCTGAGCCTGCTCCCTGCCCCAGCACTTCTCCTGGCTGTGGGGTTTGGATATTCCCCATCACAAGGATTCACTGCTGGCAGGTGGAACCAGGGATCATTTTTCTGACAGACATGTGCTATTTTCCAGCCTCAGCTCTCAGCAGCATAAAGATAATTATTAGGGAAAAAAGCCCCAAAACTCATTTTGAACAGCATTCTCTTGTCTGCCAGCCCAGCACCCCAAAGGTGATGGCTTCGTGGGGGGAGGGATGTCCAGGGGAACAGGGAGGTGAGACCCCTGGGGATGCCCAGGACACTCTGACCCTGTCAGTCACAGCCTGTGCTGCTGCTGGAAACAATCCTGCTTTAATTAATTGCTGCCCAGAGCAGCTGTGGCTGCCCCTGGATCCCTGGGAGTGTCCCAGGCCAGGCTGGACCGGTTTGGAACAACCTGGCCTATTGGAAGGTGTCCCAGCCCATGGCAGGGGCTGGAACAAAATTGGCTTTAAGTTCCTTTCCACCCCAAACCGCTGCACGATCAATAATTTTTTTACTCATTTTAAACAACAAACCCATCTCTAGCTGCAGGCCTGGCCCAAACCATGGTGGAAAGAGAACCCATTTTCTGTGTTAGCCTTTCCCCAGGCAGCCCTGAGCCCTGAGGAGGGCCAGGAGCAGCCCAGCTGTGCGGGCACCCACCAACAGCCAGCTGTGGCAGCGTGCAGCCGAGGCGCTCGGCGATGGGGGACAGGTCCTTCAGCTTCCCCTGCTGCTTCCTGCCCTCCTCGCTGATGATCTTCTCCTTCAGCCACTGGTAGCACTGCAGAGCAATCACAGCACATCAGGCTGTCAGCTTTCAGCCTCCAAAGCGGGGACTTTAAGGCGATTTATAATTATAATCTATAAATGTCTATAAATAGCAGCACTTGAAAAGCCACGTCCAGCCCAGAACGTTGCAGAGGCTGAGTAACACAAAGCTGGGCTACCCAAAGCAATTAGGGCACGGCCAGAATGTCTCCTGCTGTCCTCAGCTCTCTGGCTTGATTCTCACTCCAGAACCTGGAATCTCCCCAGTTTTCTTTTTGGACCCCCTAACCCCCAATAAGAATAAAATCAGGATAATTGTGGAGAAACCAAGTTGTGGTGACACCAGAATGCCAAAACCTGTTAGAGAGGGCAGCCCCCAGGTCTCCAGTGGGCTTGCCCTTGGCCTGGGGTCTCGGGAGGGATGCTGGGACCACTGGGGGGATGCTGGGGGGCTGAGCACCCCCGTGGCCTAGGCTGGTACCCAGGGAAATGATGTCCAAGTCTGCTGGACCTACGTGGTTCGGGGGGCTGCAAGTGGCAGCAGCTGCATCCATTCAGGGCTGGACTCCGTGACCTTGGAGGTCCTTTCCAACCTCAAAATTCCAGGGTTAACATCAGTGAGGAGCCTGGAGCACCACAGAGCCCGTGGCTCGTGCCTCCCCCTGGGTGATGTCCCTCAGTGCAGGGTGGGGACAGCACCAGCACCCCCAGAGCTGCCCCAAGCCCCCCTGAGCTCCCTGCGTGGGGAGCCTGAGCTGGTCCTAACCCAGATTCTGCTGCTCTTCGGAGTGTGGTTGCCAGAGAAACAGAGCTGATCCATCCAAGCACAGCCCTCCTTCTCACGAGGGAGCCCTTTCCCCTTTGTTGTTTTCCTGCCCTCACAAAAGCAGCACGACTCAGACGTGCTCCAGAAATACCTTGAGTGAAGCCCTTGAGCTTTCAGGGACCCCGTTGCCGTATTTCCCTGAGATGATCCCACAGGCCAGGGGAGACCACGTCATTGCTCCCACCCCTGCAGAGGAAACAGAAAAAGGGGTTTTAGGGAAGTGGGACAAATCAGAGCTGGAGCAAAAAATGTAGCTTTCAGTCAAAAACTAAACCAAGAGCAAACTGATTGCTGCTTGTTTCTGTTGCCACTGGCAGCAACGCTCAGCTGGTCTTGCAGGAATGTGCTGCTGATGTCCTTAAGGATTTATTTCACCTAATGGACCACATGAATCTCAGAGAGTAAGGAGCAGCCAAGCCAATTAATACTTAATATGTTCATTAATGTACTTCAGTTATTAACATAATATTAAGCAATACTTGATCAGAGGCACAGTAAGCTGGTTTTTCTTTTAGGTCACTATCAGATAGAGACTTGGCTTTGTCACCGGTGCCATCTGGAGCCCCAGGCCATCCTACCCTCCGTTTCCCTCTGGGAATGCCCCAGCCAGAAGGCCCAGCAGGCTCAGACTCACCGATTTTGTGATACAATTCTGGCAGCTGCACCTCCACCTTCTCCCTCTGGAACAGGTGATACTCGGCCTGCTCACACACGGGGGGGATCATGTTGAACTGCCTGGCCACGGAGTAGGCTTCCTGCCGAGGGGAAACCGCGGAGAAAGCGCTTCAGAAAATGGAGATGCCCTGCAGGACACGTTCTCTGAGGGTACAGGAGACGGCCAAGGCAACGCTCGCTGTCCCTCGGCAAGGGCAAGTGGCACCAGCAGGATGCTGCAGTGCTGCATCTCCTGGACTCACAGCCTGCTTTGGACACTGAAGCCATCTCATTCCACCCCCATCCAGCCATGGGCCAGGCTGGTATCAAACTGAAGGACTTCAGTCAAACCAAAATGACACAAACCCAAAGAAACCAGCCAAACCCCCACACATCAGCCCATCTTCCCCTAATTAGCACTGGGCTCATTCTGGGACAGGCTGTTAAATTATTTGAGGTGGAAAGCCTGGATGGAGTGGAACCCACTGTGCCCAGGGTTGCCATGCCATGACCTCCATGGCCCCACCATCATCTCCACGCTCCCCACCATGGTCTCCATGGCCCCACCATGACCTCCATGCTCCCCACCATGATCTCCATGGCCCCACCATGACCCCCAAGCTCCTCACCATGATCTCTGTGACCCCAACATCACCTCCATGCTCCCCACCATGACCCCACCATCACCTCCATGCTCCCCACCATGATCTCCACGCTCCCCATGGCCGCACCATGACCCCCAAGCTCTTCACCATGACCCCCCAGCTCCTCACCATGATCTCTGTGACCCCAACATCACCTCCATGCTCCCCACCATGATCTCCATGCTCCCATGGCCCCACCATGACCCCCAAGCTCCTCACCATGATCTCCACAGCCCACCATGACCCCCCAGCTCCTCACCATGACCCCCCAGCTCCTCACCATGATCTCCACAGCCTCACCATGACCCCTCAGCTCCTCACCATGACCCCCCAGCTCCTCACCATGATCTCCATGGCGCTCCAGCGGGACGTGCCCCAGTACATGGCCATGCCCTGGTTGATCACGTGTGTCATCGCCCGCACGATTTCTGAAGGACAGCAAAAACAGGAGTGTGAGAAGTGCCCAGAGGCCACGTTTCCACCAAACCCACTTCCAAACACCCCACACTGACAGTCCTGAGCACGCTCCTGCTGTGCTCTCCTGCCCAGCTGTGGCTGGAAAAGCACTTTCAGTGCAAACACCAAGACAGTGACCCTGCAGTTGGTTCAAAACTGCTTTTCCCACCTGGCTCTTGCCCACCACAGCCTTAAGAGGACATTTCCCCCAAAACGGAACACAAGAGGGCAGCACAGCGGAAAAATAAACTTCAAAATAAATTCCTTTTTTCTTTTTTTTTTTTTTTTAATTTGCTTCCTGAATGCACATATCTGGGTCTGCCTCTCTTTACCAGGAATGCCAGGGGCAAAGCTACAAGGATGGCTGATTGAACCCTACTCTGCCAGGGCCCTGTCACCCCCAGGTGTCACCTCTGCACCCCAGCAGTGCCACGCTCCCCGTTGCTGCTCTCTGGGATATGGAAGCTTGCAAGGCCACACACACCTGGACAGGATCTTGGATTTCACCCCTCAGACCTCCCCACCTGCCTGGGGGTGAAAAATCCCTGATGAACTTTAGTTTAAAGGAATCCCAGAATGGTTTGGGTTGGAAGGGATGTAAAAACTCATCCAGTCCCACCCTGCCATGGCAGGGACACCTCCCACTGTCCCAGGTTGCTCCAAATGTCCAGCCTGGCCTTGGGCACTGCCAGGGATCCAGGGGCAGCCACAGCTGCTCTGGGCACCCTCCCAGGGAGGAATTCCTTCCCAATATCCCATCCATCCCTGCCCTGTGTCACAGTCCCCAGGAGCAGCCACGAGCCACAGCCCTGCCCTGGCTGTGGCAATAAACCCTATTTCTGACAGGGCTGCAGCAGGGATGCGACCACTGCCCACAGAATGGGCAAAATGAACTAAACTCACTGTGGGAAGTGAAAGAAAACACTTCTGGGGCACTGCTGCCTGTGGCACCTCGAGGTCAGCGGGCACTGCCCACCCACCCCAGCAGCTCTGACCACCCAAACCCCTCTGGAGGGGCTGCCCTGGAGCCTGCAGTGCCCAGAACATCCCTGGGGATTAGGGGTGGGCTAAGGGCTGCAGGCACTGCTGCCCCAAAGCAGGCTCCAGTGCCAAGCTGGGCACTGCTGAGAACCCTCCTGCAGGCACTGCCAGGCAGCTGCGAGGGGGAAGGCTCCATTTATAACCCTGCTTCCACACACAGACCTGCCTCAAACCCAAACTCAAATCCACTTTATCCGAGGCAATGAGGGAAAGGAAATAAAAACCCCAGAGAGCCTCAAAGCCAGCACTGGGATGTAAAGGAAACTTCCAGTTCTTCCTGAAAAAATACCAATTCATTTCAGTGAAGGGAAAATATCGAATCAAAGACTGGTTTGGGATGTAAAGGACCTTAAAGATCTTCCTCTTCCAAGCCCTTGCTGTGGGCCGGGACACTTTCCACCTGACCAGAGCTCCAGAATTCAATTAATGAGCAATTTCAAGCTGCTCCATCTGAATATTTAATTAAAAATTGTTTTTCATTTCCTACCACCATCAGTGTAAGCCTGCAAATGATCCTTCCCTTCCTCCCTCCCTCCTCAGCAGCTTCTCCCTGGGTTTAGTTTTCTATTTTTGCCCCGCCACCATTTCGGAGTTTTGGAAAACATTTCGTCACACGCCTCTTACACATCTCAGCCTGGGGTTGTTTTCCTTTCTCCAGCCTCTACTCCTTTCAAAAAAAAAAACCCCAAGTCAACTCAGAAAATGTATTTAAATACATATATATATATATATCTCCTTGCTGAGAGAGCCAGGGGACAGTGCTGGGATTTGGGAAGGGCACAGGCTGGATCTCCTGTCCTCCAGCTGGATGCCCAAATGGCAGCACTTAAGAACAGGAGTTGTTGGTTTTTTTTTTAATATAAATCAATGCTTCAAATCCCAAACAACAGCCCCTGGCACCATAACAATAATAACTCTGAAGTAGGTTAAAGTTCCCTGGTTGTCACCTTCCTCCCCGGTGCCAGGCTGTGCCTGGCTGCTGGGCATGCCGTGGGCACCTGGCTCTGTGACAGTGGGGACACCCCAGGGACCCTCCTCTCCAGCTGCCCTGCTGGAAGAGCCCCTTGGGATGCAGGAAAAGCAGCTGCTTGCCCAGCTGGGGGATGAGATTTCACCCCAAGGAACGAGGCACGGAGCACACGGGAATTGTGGAGAGGACGGATCCGTCCCAGCAGCCGTCCCCAAGGTCCCCAATCGAGGGGCTGGGGTGGCACGGGGTGGCACAGGGTGGCAGGGACACCCCTCACACGGCTGAGCCAGCCCCAGGAGGGTGGGCAGCCTCAGCCCCCTGCCTGGCCCTGGGGCACAGGGGGCACAGCCAGACCCACGTGCCCACGGTGCTCATCCCCAGCTGCTCCCTGCCTCCAGCATTCCCTGCTTTTACAACGGAAAACTATTTCAATTTGCTCTGAGACCTTTAAGAACATTAAATACCTTTCGGGGGTTTAGGGTAAGCAGCTTTGCCAGGTGCCCTGAGGCCCAAGTGGCTGCCGGCACAGAAATCCCCATGGATGCTCATCTGCTCCTTCCCCAGGGGAGGAGCAGAGCCCGGGCAGCCTGGGGACAGAGGGATCTGCTCTGGCATCTCCAGAAGCTGCTCCTTGGTGCTGCTGCCCAGGGGCACTGCCAGCAGAGGGACAGGGGACAAACCCAGGAGCAGCAGGCAGGGAAAACAAACAGGACATTCCAGGCTTTGATGTGGCTGTGCCCCCCTGCTCACAGCGCGCTGGCTGCTCCAGCCTGACCCACAGGCGATGCCACGAGCAGGGAACACTTTAAGGTCACCTTCTCCTCCAGGAGGGGCTGCCCCAGCCCTGGAAGTGTCTCAGGCCAGGCTGGAGCAGCGTGGGACAGTGGAAGGGAATGGGATGAGCTTTAAGGTGCCCTCCAAGGCGCTCCATGGCTCCCCGTGGGAGAAGCTGAGGCGTGTGTGGTGCTGAGCAGGATGGAGTGGCTCAGCAAGCAGCACCGACAGATGGCCCAGCAGATGCTCTGGGAGGGAAGTGCCTTAGTAGGTGATCCATAAAAAAGGCAGGAAGAAGATGGGAAGTGTCTCCAGCATGCCATTCATAAGAGAAATGTCCCTTTTTTCACCCTGCTGGAGCCTCAGCCAGCGCCACAGCCTGTGCCTGGCTGCCAGGGCTGGCTCTGGGGTGTGGGATCAGCTGTGCCCTGGGCACAGGGGCCCCTCCACACTGCTCAGTGACAGCAGAACGAGCACAGAGGTCACAGCTCCCTCCCAGACACAACACAGAGCCTTCCTTGACCTCAGCAGCTCCTGGAGAAGCTCCTAAGATCCCAGGCTGGTCCCTGACCCGCACTGGGTGGCACCCGCGGGTCACCCTGGGTGGCACAGCCCCACATCCAGCAAGGACAGGGGTACCAGCACTCCTGGCAGAGCTGCAGCTCTGTTTGATTCCCACGGACCATCCACCACAGCCACCTGCCACGGACACCTGCCTTAAATCCAGCCACAAATCCACTTCGTCTGAAGGAGCTGGGAAAAGGAAATACTCCAAATGTTAAAGTCACTCATGGGACAGAAAGGAAACTTTCATTTCCTTCAAAAACATACAAACTCATGTCGTGGCAGGGTAGGCATTGAAACCTTAAATAGGACCTTAAAGGACATCTAATTCCAACCCTCTGCCTGGGCAGGGACACCTTCCATGGAGCAGCCACCAAAATGAGATATTTCACATTCAAACTGCCCCACCTGAACAATTGATTACTAACTGTCTTCCACTTCCTGCCCTCCTCAGCCTAAGCCCTTAGGCCAGGATCAGGCTCTGAAGGTTAACCCTTTCAGGGCAGCTCCCACCAACCTTCCATGGGGGTGTTGTTGTCCGGCCGGTTGGCAAAGACCACGTCCACATATTCCAGCTGCAGCCTCTGGAGAGAAGCCTTCAGCCCTGGGCATGGGAAAGCAGAGACAAGGACAGGCAGGGTCACAGGGAGGCACGGAACAGGGCCAACATGGCACCAACCACAGCTTGCTGTATTTAAATATGTGTATTTTTATACACACACACACAGAACCACTTAGGATGCGAGAGGGATGCTGAATGGTGCTGTGCCATCTGAAGAGGAAAGCACCAGCCTGGCCACACAGAGAGCCCCTCCTTCCCCAGGAATGTGCTTTAGAGCTGCAGGATTTGTGCTGACCAGCCCTGGTTACAGAGCTGTCCCTGCCAGCCTGCCAGGGACTCTGTCAGTGCCCTGCTCCTGCCTGCAGGGAATTCCATCTGAATTTTGCCACAGAGCCTTTCCTGCTCCAGCCCCAGCTGCTGGGGCCATTGCAGGGGGCAGCCCCAGAGGGCAGGATGGTGGCACTGGGGCTGACTGGTGCCACTGGTTATGGGAACAGGTGAAGCACCAGGGAGGGCTTCCCCTGCCAGGGTGAGCTGTGCCCACCCACCCTGCACAGGGAGCTTGGCACAGCGAGCACAAGCCCTTTGCAGCTCAGTCCATAAATGTCCAGGTTTTCAGAGCCTTCCTGCGAGGATCTGATGGGAGATGGCATCAAACCCCTGCAGATATATTTATATATCCATGTATGAGTGTATGAGAGAGGGCGAGCAGAGGATGGGCATTTTATCCAGCTCAAAATTCAGCAAACATTTCCAGCCTGCTCTATTTTGACTCATTCTTCATGAACATTCATAAAAACATTTTGTTCTTGGGAAGATTTGTAGAAAATAACTGTTAAAAATCCTCTTCTCTCTCTCTCACGCACACAGATATATATAAATATATATAAAAATATAAGATATCTCTCATTGACCTTCACGTTGTTTGCTGGGTGTTCTGTGAAATTATCCCAACTCCTGCCAGTGCTTTTCTGTCATTTCACAAAGTAGTCCCACAAGAAATGGAAAATGGATGGGTCTGGGGTGCCTGTGACACATCTGCCACCTCCCTGAGCTCTTTCAGTGCCACTGCCTCACTGAAGCTTATTGAGATGAAAATTCAACAAAACGTTGCTACCAGAAAAGCTTTCTCAGGATTACCTTCCTGGGAAAGTCCCAGGATCCTGATGTGCCTGGATCCTGCACACACTCCAAGATAAACCTCTGCAGGGCAATCCTGGATAAAACTTGCCAGGAGCAGGAAGGAGGAGGATGGAGGAGCCAAAGCTGCACCCCAGGGAGGGGCTGCTGACCCCCACTCACCCCACCTGAGCTGGGCACTGCCCTGGGGCTCCCATTTCCCAGGTGTGCAGCACAGGAAGGAGGAGCTGCTGCCCAGAGGATCCCACCCCTGAGCCCCAGCAGCACGGTCTGCACATCCCAGGGGGCAGGAGGCACAAAGGGGTCACACAGGGACAGGGTCACAGGGGACAGTGCTGGTCCTGGACGTGACCCCCAGCTCCCCAGGCACAGTGGGACAGGGTCACAGGGGACAGCACTGATCCTGGATGTGATTCTCACTCCCCAGACACAGTGGGACAGGGTCACAGGGGACAGCACTGATCATGGACGTGACCCCCAGCTCCCCAGGCACAGTGGGACAGGGTCACAGGGGACACTGCTGATCCTGGACGGGATCATCACTCCCCAGGCAGAGTGGGACAAGGTCCCAGGGGACAGTGCTGATCCTGGACGGGATCATCACTCCCCAGGCAGTGGGACAGGGTCACAGGGGACAGCACTGATCCTGGATGTGACCCTCAGCTCCCCAGGCACAGTGGGACAAGGTCCCAGGGGACACTGCTGATCCTGGATGTGACCCTCAGCTCCCCAGGCACAGTGGGACAGGGTCACAGGGGACAGCACTGATCATGGATGTGACCCCCAGCTCCCCAGGCACAGCTGTGTCCGTGGCACTGCTGTCCCCGTGCTGTGAGCTGAGCCCTGCAGAGCCAGCTCTGGTCCAGCCCTGGCAGACAGGGCCAAGGCTTTGCAGTGCACAAACAGAACACAGAGCTGCTGCTGTCCCCTCTCCTGCAGGAACACGGCCACAGGGACAAGGCAGAGCAGCAGGAAGGGGAGCAGGGATGGGGTCAGTAACCCCAGGATGGGATGGAGCCAGGTGAGCAGAACTGAGCCCTCGAGGAGGAGCAAAGCTCAGCCCTCCAGAGGCTATTTCTGCAGGCTGACATCCTGCCACATCCTCATCCTCACCCCTCCCAGCTCCAAAGGCAGCCCAGGCACCTCTGGCCCCACGGGGAAGGGCTGGGGGGTGCAGGGAGCTCCCCAAACCCAGCAGAGCCCCGGGAATGAGGGGGCAGGGGGCTGCCAGCGCCGTCCATCCCCTGACACTTTTTGAGGGGAACCTTGGGTGCATTCTGGGCATTTCAGGACGAGTTGGGGAGCTGCCCTGCGTGGGACTGGCACAGGGGCGGTGGGATACAGAGCCCCGGGCTGTGGGAGAGCCCTGGAGCAGAGGACAGAGCCCACCCGGGGCAGCCCGGCCCTGGTACCTTCGATGATGTGTTTCCTGGAAAGGCCTCGCTCCGTCTCTGCTCTGCAAGGGAAAAACAGGCACAGCTGGCAGAGGTGCCAACAGCCCGGGAGCACTGAGCTGTGCTCTCATTGAAACACCCCCAAAACTACGGAATCACACGCTGGTTGGGCTGGGAGGGACCCTAAATCCCACCCAGTGCCACCCTGCCATGCAGGGACACCTCCAATTCCCAGGGGAGCACCCTCCCTGGGCACTGGGAAGGGGGGATGCTCCTGTGGGACCACGGCACCCAGCAGGTGCTGGGACAGCACCCCCCAACACGGGAAATTCTCCAAATCAGGGAAAATGGCATACTGTACCTCCAGCCCTTCTTCTTCAGGATGTTCCCCAGGATCACCTCGGCCCTGTGCAGGAAGAGGGCAGCGTGAGGGGGGCAGGGGATGCTCAGTGCCCCCACCCAGCCCGGCTGCAGCTGCCTCTGCCCTCCCCTGGTGACAGTGACCCCCAGCTGGGACAGGTCCATCTAGCACAGAGCCCCCTGTCCCCCACTGCCCCTTCCCAGGTGCCTGACCCTGGGCTGGTCCCTGAGCAGGACACGATGTCCCAGCCCAGCTGGGAGCCCTGTCAGTCACCCCAGTCCCACTCAGCACGGGTGGTGGCCCCCATCCCATCCACAGGCGATGCCCCCCACCCCAGAGGGGGTGTCCCCCCACCCCACAGTGGCTCTGAGAGCAGCCAGAGGGGCTCCCCCCGGGATTCCTGCCTGGAGCTGTCACAGCCCCAGCCATCCACCACCACTGAGAGCCACTTTCCATCTGTTCAGGGTATTTTTCTCCCTGTGCCAACAACAGTGCTGCACTCCAGCCTTGGCTGGGCACGAGAGGCTTTGGGTTAATTGTCTGGGTTTGTTTGATGAGTGCCCCAAACGCAGAGGTTCTCCTGTCCCACTCAGAGATAAAGAGGCTTTCCAAGCACACCCAGAGCCCAGCCCATCAGAGGGGGAGCAGAGAGCCCAAGGAAGGCAGGTGCAGCTCTGCCAGCCCCTCTGGGCACACCCTGCCCACGTGTGCCTGTGCCAGCCCCCCCGGGCACATCTGCCCAGGTGTGTCTGTGCCAGCCCTGCCCAGGTGTGGCTGTGCCAGCCCCCCCGGGCACACCTGCCCAGGTGTGTCTGTGCCAGCCCCTCCGGGCACACCTGCCCAGGTGTGTCTGTACCCCAGCCCCTCTGGGCACAGCCTGCCCAGGTGTGGCTGTACCAGCCCCCCCGGGCACACCCTGCCCAGGTGTGTCTGTGCCCCAGCCCCTCCGGGCACACCTGCGCAGGTGTGTCTGTACCCCAGCCCCTCTGGGCACAGCCTGCCCAGGTGTGGCTGTACCAGCCCCCCCGGGCACACCCTGCCCAGGTGTGTCTGTGCCCCAGCCCCTCCGGGCACACCTGCGCAGGTGTGTCTGTACCCCAGCCCCTCTGGGCACAGCCTGCCCAGGTGTGGCTGTACCAGCCCCCCCGGGCACACCCTGCCCAGGTGTGTCTGTGCCCCAGCCCCTCCGGGCACACCTGCGCAGGTGTGTCTGTACCCCAGCCCCTCTGGGCACAGCCTGCCCAGGTGTGGCTGTACCAGCCCCCCCGGGCACACCCTGCCCAGGTGTGTCTGTGCCCCAGCCCCTCCGGGCACACCTGCGCAGGTGTGTCTGTACCCCAGCCCCTCTGGGCACAGCCTGCCCAGGTGTGGCTGTACCAGCCCCCCCGGGCACACCCTGCCCAGGTGTGTCTGTGCCCCAGCCCCTCCGGGCACACCTGCGCAGGTGTGTCTGTACCCCAGCCCCTCTGGGCACAGCCTGCCCAGGTGTGGCTGTACCAGCCCCCCCGGGCACACCCTGCCCAGGTGTGTCTGTGCCCCAGCCCCTCCGGGCACACCTGCGCAGGTGTGTCTGTACCCCAGCCCCTCTGGGCACAGCCTGCCCAGGTGTGGCTGTACCAGCCCCCCCGGGCACACCCTGCCCAGGTGTGTCTGTGCCCCAGCCCCTCCGGGCACACCTGCCCAGGTGTGGCTGTGCCAGCCCCTCCGGGCACACCTGCCCAGCTGTGGCTGTGCCCCAGCCCCTCTGGGCACACCTGCCCAGGTGTGTCTGTGCCAGCTCCCCTGGGCACACCTGCCCAGCCCTGCCCAGCTGTGTCTGTGCCAGCTCCCCCGGGCACACCTGCCCAGCCGTGCCCAGCTGTGGCTATGCCAGCCATCTGTTACTACAAGAGGGTTTTGACATCCAAAATGAGACTTTGCCAGAATTCCCTTTGGGATTAAATGGGTTTAGGATGGGGTGAGCTGGCTCAGGGGGTGGTGCAGCTCCAGGAGAGCTCCTGCAGCCAGGCAGGACAGGGCACCTGCTCCCAGGGTGGGACTGGCACAGGCAGCTGCCCAGGGCAGCTCCCAGGGGAGCTGTGGTGCCAAAACACAGAGCTGGATTCAAATCATGGGATGGTTTGGGTGGGAAGGGACCTTAAATCCCATCCAGTGCCACCCTGCCATGGCAGGGACACCTCCCACTGTCCCAGGCTGCTCCAGCCCTGTCCAGCCAGGCCTGGGACACTGCCAGGCCCTGAAATCTGAAGCTCTTTCCAAATCAGAAATCATTTTCCAAAGCTTCAATTTGACGAATTGGAAAAGAATCCGTGATGCTGCCACAACACATCATTTGGGGAATGAAACTCTCCTTAAATATGTACTTCAGCATTCAGCATCCTGAAAGCCAAAATTAGAAGTAAAAAAAAAAAAAGAAGACATAAAAAAGAGAACTATTTCTTCTGACAGGAAAGATTTCCAAGCCAAAGTGACTTTTCCCTAGGAACTTTTCCATGCAGCCGATGTCCAGTGCCAGCCCAGCCCAAGGGCACTGCTTTCTCCAGGCTGGCCCCTAAAGCTGCTGCAGTTTAGGCTCAGTTGCTGACTCTGGTCTATTATTAGGACAACTTGGGGCATTATCTCTTTGTGATCATTGCTTTAAAAAAAAAAAAATTAAAAAATCCTGTGGTGGAAGCAGCGTGTGGCTTTAACCAGATCATCAACCAGTTTGGGGTAGAAGAGACCTTTAAAGGTCAGCTGGTCCAAGCCAAGGAATTCCCACAGGAACATGATTTCTGTATCCAGGTTTTGCATGCATGTCTTTATTTCAGGAATACAGACCTCCCAAGGCAGGGGGAGAGGCAGAGGGAGCTGGGGCAGCTGCAGGTCCCACAGAGACATCCCTGCTCGCTGGGCTCAGCAGGGCTGTGCGCCCCTGGGGCTCCTGCCAGCCTGCCACAACGTCCCCCTGAGCCCAGCACAGCTCCTCCTCACTCCTGCAGACTGCACGGAACCCCAGGTGCCAAATTCAGCCACCGCCTGCGCGGATGGGGCAGAGCTCTCACAACTCCCTGCTCTGACTTAGGAGGGCTCAGGCTCCCAGCTGGGGCTGGGAAAACCAGCTGAAAAACCCCACTGAAAACCCAGCGAGATTCCCCCAGCCCCGGCAGCGTGCCAGGCCAGGCTGGACACGGCTGGCAGCACTGGGGCAGGGGGAATGTCCCTGCCATGGCAGGGTGGCACTGCCCCTCCCAAGCCACCCCACCAAAGCAGGGACGCGACAGCACAGGGACTGCAGTGCAGGGCCGAGCTCTGGTGCTGCCAAGGGGCACAAACTGCAGCTCCCCTGCCTGCCTGCACTCGAAAAGATGCAAAAGCTGCTGCCAGAGCCTCATCAAAGAGGGACGGGGTCCCTGGGACACGGACCCCGAGCAGGGGTGGAAGCGCTGGGGCAGCTTTGATCAGCCCTGCTCAGAGCACAGCCACCCGTCGTCCCTGGCAGCTGGAGCTCGCCCTCTTTCCCTCAAAAAAAGGCCAGTCTGAATTTTTTAATACGTCAGGTTTCTCTCAGTGCAAATAAAGCTATTTAAAGATGCACAAAGTGTGAGTTCAAACTGCAACTCCTGACTTCCTGCAGAACAACCCGAGCTGGAAAAGCCAAGTTTGCCACAGATCAGAGATGAAATGGGAACTAAACAAATGAGCAAAGAGCTCACATTTTCTAGCTGGTTTTGTATTTTCTTTAGCTCTGTAAGGACAACAATAATGGGACAGGAGTACCCCTGCTGCACCTTGCTGGCTACAGACCTCAGGAGAGGTATTTTCTCTGATTATTGGAGTTTAAATGCTCTGGTCCTGCACAACAAAGATAAAACTGAAACCTGTTTTCATTTTATCTTTAAGCTTCTTCATGCAGATAAAAAAAAATAACCAAATGAAGCCTGATTTCCATGTTAAAGCTTCAGAGGTGTTATTTTTACAGGAATGCATTAAAATGTGTTTGTACCAAAAAATGGGTTGAGACTGTTTATCTCAAAGAGATTTTTTTTTCCCCTTTTGCATAAGCAGCACACAGGTGCACAGGTGAGAAGGAAGAGGATTATTCATCCTCCCCACAGAGCGCACATCCTCTCAAAATTCACCTTCTGACACAAAGCACGTCCCACTGAGTGACAACGTGCTCGGGGAGAGCAGCCTGAGAGCTCAAAGCAGAACAACAGGCACCTTAAAGCTCCTGAAATGCAAGGAAGGAATCCCTGGGCAGCCTGCCCGAGGGCCCCCTGTGCCCACCCTGTGCCCCCAGACCCAGCTGGGGCACACAGCACCAGCAGAGCACACGGGTGGGGATTCCAAGGGCTCTTCATCCCCACGAGCATCACAAAAACCAGGCAGGGATGAGTTTGGGCTCAGCAGGGTGAGCTCCAGAGCACCAGGGGTGGCTGGGGAAGGGAAGGGCTCTGCTTCAGGAGGCAGGAGCAGGGAAGGCTCCCCCACCAAAGCAGAGGCACGGCGTGCCACAGGCTGCTCCCCTCCCTCTGCAAAGGAAAAAAGGCAAAAAAAAAAGCACAAGGCACATTTGGCATTTCAAACAACAGCCAAGGATGATTCACAACCTCAGCCAACACACTCATTTGGGAAGAAAAATATACTGGAGAAAGATAGATGTTTTTTTTAATTGCTCCTTTCCCCTTTCCAAATCACTGTCTCTCTCTCACCTACCCCAACCCTTGCCCATCACCTTCCTCCCTCCTGCCTTGAAAAGGTTTTCCAAGTGGATATCCTCTCCTCCAAGGGGAATTCCTGCACGAGGCCCTGCTTTGGCTCCATCTCACCAAGCCCAGCAGGGCGTGGTGCCAGAGCAAAGCCCACCTGAGCAGTGTCACAGCACTGCCAGCACGAGTGTCACCCGTGCAGGAGCAGAGGGCTGAGCCCCCAGCCCGTGCTGCTGCTGCTGCCAGGCATGGTGCCCGTGCCAAACCTCACCCCCAGAGCAAGGACCAAGGGGAGAGCAGCACCTGCCCCCTCTGGGCTCACAAAACACCATTTCTGCAGCCACCTGGGACCTCCTGTCCATGGGATTGGGGATATTGGCATGGCAGCTTTGTCCTGCTCCTTTCCCTGAGGTCAAGGCTCTCTCAAAACCTGCAGGAGCCCAAGGCAGGGTCCCCCTGAGCTGCACAGGTGAAAAACATGACCTGGCATTCCCTGGAATCACGTTTCACCAAGGAAAGAGGCTGGCAGCAGCCCAGGACCAGGCTGGCAGATCCCCAGTGGAAGGCTCACCTGGAGGAAACTCATCCAAGCAGGAGGTGGGAGCTCAGCCCTGGCAGGAGCAGGACCCAGCACTGGGATGCTCCCAGGGAAGCTCAGCCTGGCTGAGCAGCCCCAGCTCCCAGGAATGATGCCCAGCCATGCTCTGAGGGGCTCAGGGCCCTCCCAGACAGCCCTGCCAGCAGAGGAGCTCGCTCCCCCGAGCCAGGAGGAGCAGGATGTCCCCAAAGGGTCCCTGCTCTCAGCCCTGCCCACCCCGGATTTCTGCCCCACTTCCCCTTCTCCTCCACTTTTCATCCTGCAGGATGAAGCGCACTCCCACCTTGCTGAGATTTTGCGAGGCTTTTGAGGAAGACTGCTGAGCCTTCAGAAACTTTAGTGAGCCCTAAATTGGATTTTCATGCTGCAGAGAACACAGGGATACACATTTATCTCTTAGGGAACTGCAAGAGAGAAGGCATTTAGGAAAGTCAGAGAAGCCAGAGCTGGGAGCAGACACCTGGGGGATCTGCAGAGGGACAGGTGGCACAAGGGGGAGGGTTTTAAACTGAAAGAGAGGAGATTTAGATCAGATCTTGGGGAGAAATCCTTCCCTGGAGGGCGGGCAGGCCCTGGCACAGCTGCCCAGAGCAGCTGTGGCTGCCCTGGATCCCTGGCAGTGCCCAAGGCCAGGTTGGACATTGGGGTTTGGAGCACCTGGGACAGGGGAAGGTGTCCCTGCCATGGCTGGGAGAGAACAGGATGAGCTTCAAGGTCCTTCCAACCCAAAACAACCATCCAGAAGAAAAGGTGCTGTGCAGCAAGAGGAACACCTGCCCACTGCAGGGAATTTGGATTTCTGGATTCTGGGTTTGAGGCTTGCAGCTCCCTCTCCCTGCTCCCGGGGCAGGGGCTCAGGGCTGTGCTGGAGCAGGAGGAGGTGCCCAGCAGCTCCCAGCCCCTGCACAGCTGCACTCACAAAGCCTCTGTATATTTAGATGCTGCTGCAGTTCCACTTCAAATCAAAGAAAAGCTCTGCAAAACTGCTTGTTGTTTTGGTTTTTTTTTTTTCCTTTTCCTGCTGCTACTTCCTTCCCGTGGCTTTCTCCCCCACCCCACCAGCAGCACTTGGGGAAGCTGTGAGGCTGATAAATAAAACTGATAAATAAAACCTCTGCACAGACCAGACCAGTCCTTTCCAAGGCTGGGCTATTTTAACCAGAAGAGCTCTTGGCAGAGCAGGGCCTGCTTCTCCCACTTGTGCTGCAGGGTGACTTTCACAATTCCCTCTGGTTTAACCCCTGGGGGCAGCCAGCCCTGGCAGGGATGATCAGGCAGAGCCCCCCAGCTCCTCCCCTGCCCCAGGCAGCAGCACCCCCACCCTGGCAATGCCCACCTGGGCAGGCGACCCCCTGGAACTTACCCCAAACACTCTCTGCTCTCACAGCCTGTGCTCTACCAAGCTCCTGCTTTCCAACAAACAGCCCCAAGGCCTTATTTTTGTGTCTGAACGGCCTGAGCAGAATAATCACAGAATCGTGGAATGGTTTGGGCTGGAAGGACCCTAAAGCTCGTCCCATTCCATCCCTCTGTTGGGCAGGGACACTTCCCAGTAGACCAGATTGACCTGACCTAATAATAATAATATTATTATTATAACTGGACTTCTCAAAGAAAATTCCAGTAACTACCCACCCAAATTGCACCCAGGATGGAAATTTCCTGATGACTAAAGCCAGGCATGCCATAGGTTGTGAGCCTAGAGACAGCAGTGTTTCCCTGACTATTCCACAGGTTTAAAGCTTGCTGCAGACTCCTTGGACCTGTGGGTACATCAATTGATTTAAATACTCTGAGTAAGTGTAGAATGAACACTGCCATCTCAGATTTGTAATTAGCTTAGATTCATAATTAAGCTACTGTTGTGCTTATAGCAAATCCTATTGAGTCACTTTATAAATGTTAAATTAGTCAACTGATTAAGCCCTGCTATTGTTGTGTTGATGGAGCATTGCTAAGCCCTCCAGACCCGAAGCACTGATCAGTCTGAGGCTGAGCCTGGCACTGGGGCTGCTCTGAACCCCAGGGCTCCAGGGGAGGGTCTCCTCCCCTCTGCACCCCCCTTTCTGTGGGCCAGCATCCACTTCCACCACTGCAGACTGATTTTAACCTCATTTCCCTCCACGTGCTCTGTCTGCGTAGCAATAAACCAAAATGCGCCATCAAACTCCACAATTTCATAAATTCCTGCTCAGCCTGGGCTGGCTGCTGCCTTCCTAGCCATTCTTTAAGGAGCCTGAGGTGGTTCTGCAGCTCCTGTGGCAGCACTGCGGCCCCCGGGAAGCAGGAATGGGCTGGGGGGCTGTGCTGGGGCACAGCTCCATCCCTGGGGCTGCACCGTCCTGGTGCCCAGCCTGGCACTGCCGGAGGAGCTCACAGCAGAGCTCAGCCTCCTCCTCCTCCCTGCGGGGCTCGTCTCCATCACACAACGCGATCTCGTGCCCCAGGGGCTGCACTTCAGAGCATTTCTCTGAGTAAAGGCAGCAGGAGCTCTCCAGGAGCAGAACCCTTCCCCAGGAAACAGCACAGGGGGGATGGAGCATGGCTATGGAATTGTGTGCTGCTGCAGCCAGGGGGAAACAGGGCACACAGGGGATGGGACGCACGGGATGGAGCTCTGCCCGAGCCCAGCTGGCCCTGGGGACACTCCGTGGGGTCCCTGCACTGCTCCTCGCAGGGACGGGGCACACCAGAGGGTCCCACAGCTGCCCCGGAGGGCTGGCACAGGGGCCAGAGGTACTCACCCAGCCCCAGGCACGACACTCGCAGCCCGGACTTGCCAAGGTTTCTGGAAGGAAAAGAAAACAGAAAATGCAGGTCAGCCCCTGAGGGACACACAGCACAACCCCACGGGAAGCCAGCAGCTGGAGGGGACAAGGCACAGCTTTTGCCCAGATGTGTTTTCCTCCAAAAGGGGCAGATCTCCCACGGTGGGACCTGGGCACCCAGGCTGGGGAGGGGTGGGTGTGCTTCCATCCTCCTCCTCCTCCTCCCTGAGTGCTCAGGGCTGGCAGTAAACCCCAACACATTCAGCTGTAGCTCACACCCACCAACACCACCAAGGTTTGGGGTCCCACAAACCTTCCCTGCACTTGCACAGCAGCCCAGAGTGCTTTGGGTGGGAAGGGCCTTGCAGCTCATCCCGTTCCCCCCCTGCCACGGGGCAGGATCAGGAATAAATCCCTGCCCATCCCTCTGCTGCAGGCACCTCGAGCAGTGCCTGCCCTTCCTGCGGAGTTATTGGCAGCCAAATGAAACAAAACAGAAGGAAAAGCCCTGCTGGCCCCGGGCAGGGTCAGGGGAGGGCTTGGGCAGCACACCCCAGGCTGTGACCTGTGCTTCCAGCCCGGCCCATGTCTCCACACTGGATTCCTGGCCGTGTCAGCTTTTCATTCCTGCAGCACAATTTCCCTGAGGAGCATCCCAGGGGGGCAGGAGGACCAGCCCAGCACCAGCCAGACCTTGGGGCAGGGCTGCCCATGTTCCCACCTCTCCAGGACCCCTGAACGCACTGCTGCACCCAACATTTAGTGCTGCTCATGGGGATTTCAGATGCTGGGAGACACAGGAACCTGAGCTGCAGGTCTGAAACCTGCACGTTTGAAAAGCTGCAGCTGCATCTCCAGCCCCACGAGCCCCCAGGCTCACAGCACAGCTAGGGCAGGCACTGACCTCTTTTTGTGTGTGTGTTCTATTTTTTCTTCTTTATTCCTTTTCTAGTTTTCCTTTTTTTTCCCTTTTTCTTTTTTTTTTTTCCCCTCCATCTTTTGAGTGCAAGCACAGCTGGAGCCTGCCCACCAAACCCATCCATGCCCAGAGCAGCACAAATCCTCCCCATCCTGACTGGAACCCTTGGGGGGCTCAAAGGCAAAGCCCCAGAGCTGCAGCACCGAGGGCAGGAATTCCAGAACCCCAGACCCATGGGATGGGGATTTCTGCATTCCCTCTGGACACAGCCCACCCACCCCAGAACACCCCTTGGAGTCAAGTGCTGCTGCTCATTCCCTCACAGCTTCCAATTATTTTACAGGATTTTAATCCTATTTCTCACGGACCTGATCTTTGCTCTTCAAAGTCTGTGGGCACAGCTCAGCCACAAACTCCTCTCTCCATACAAAAATAAATACACATCTACACATACACCCTTTATATATATTTGCACATATATATATTTTTATATACCCCCTTTGCATGTATGCCCTTCAGCTCTAGGCATATCCATACCCTTTATGTGTAATCTTTAATGGAAATACCCACATCTACCCCTCAGATCTATATACCCATGGGCACACCCTTGATATACACCCCTTTTTATATCCACACACAGATATTCCCAGTATCTATGTGCAAACACAGATCCTCTCCACACATCCCTTTGTACACCCCTATATAAGTGCATTTGTAGGGACACACGGTGAGTGCATCTCTGGGGTGTTTCCCTGCCTTTACAGGACTCACCACCCCTGGCAGTGGGATCTGCTGCAGGGTCTCAGCCCAGACCCCTGTGATGGTCCTGTCCTTCCCCACAGCTCCCCTGTGCCACCACGCCAGGGCTGCCCCCTCCCCACCCCAGGCAGCTTTTGGGGTAAAACACGCCAGGTTTGCTCCAGGGAGCAACACCCAGCTCTGTGAAGAGCCTGCTCAGCCAACAAATCCGGGCAGAAATGTTGTGTTTGGATTTCCAGAGCTCTGCCATTTGCTCAGCGCACACCTGACCCAAATATTTGGGAAACTGACGCTGGAAATGCCAAATCCCTGCAGGGCCAGATCTCTCTGCAAAGGGAGCTGGGAGGCTGCTGGGCAGGGGGATTGCTGAGCCCCTGGCCCAGCCTGGAGAGCACCCCCAGGTGTGCAGAGAGGCCCCACCAGCACGGGGAGCTGCCCACACCGGTGGGAACTGCCCACACCAGTGGGAACTGCCCACACCAGTGGGAACTGGTCCCAGCCCAGCCCTGGTGCTGTGTCAGAGCCCACTGAGCCCAGCCCTGGCTCCTCCTGCAGAGCAGGAATTGGTCTGGAATTCACCACCCAACACCTGCTTCTCCTCTGCCCCCCAAAACAGAAGAAACAAACCGGCGAGAAAGCCACAAACACCCACCAAGCAAATACTCACGTGCATCTCCACTCACACCCATCCTGCAGCAGACAGGTGGGTGCAGATGGAGCAGACAGACAGACAGACACGTGCCCGAAGCTGCACAAGTGCCAGGTGAAATCAATGGGCTGTCTCCAAGTAACGGGGCAGTGAAAGCTCTCTGTGCTTCCCCTGCAGCAGCTCCGTGCCTGCAGCTGAACTGGCAGCAGCCCACAGCTCCCGAGGCTGGCTGTGCTGGGAGCAGGGCCTGGGAGGTGCTGGGAATGGGGATGGAACAAATCCCAGTCCAGCAGGAGCAGCTGCTCTGGCCGTGCACAGCCGAGCATCCTCCTGGGAAACCGCTGGGTGCCCGCGCCAGCGAGCTCAGGGAGCTCACCTGCTGGGCTCCAGGGGCTCCAGGAGAGCTGGGGACAAGGGGAATGGCTTCCCACTGCCGGGGGTTAGGTGGAATAGTGGGAAGGAATTCCGCTCTGTGACAGAGTAGCTGTTAGAGAGGACAAAGCAGGATCTCTGGTCTCTGAGGATTTCTGGTTTCCTGGCCAAAGCAGCTGATTGAAAGTCAGCTCTGACCCAGCCTCTCCTGGTTTCCATTAGCACAGCCATCGTGCTGCTCCTGCCGTGCTTTGCAGGCGTGGAGCCACGGCTGTGCTCCCACAGAGCACTGCCCAGCACACAGAGAACCCAGGATTTATCTGTGCCGGGCCCCAGCCCTGCAGCCACACAGCTCCCACCTCCCAGCCTGCAGCCGCCTCCTTTTCCTCGCCTTGACCCCAAACCTGCACCACAAGGCAGGCCTGAAGGTGCTCAGCCCCTCAGCTGAGCTCTTGTAAAGCCAGAGCCCAAAGCCAAGCAGCACACACTGCTGGGCTACAGCCGAGCCCAGCCTGGCACTGGAGAGCCCCGCAGGGGATGGGAAAGGGGCAGCAAGGAGAGCTTTTGGGGGACAGCACCCACAGTGGAGCTGTGCAAACCTCCCGAGGCCACCAAAACCTCCAAGGCACAACAGCTGCAGCCACCTCAGCCCGCAGAGCCCCAGGGCACTGCTTTATTCTGGGGAGAGAAGGGACACCCCAGCCCTTCTGCTGTTCGTAGCTCCAGGATGTATTTTAACTTCAAATCTTTGCAGCCTCGGGACAGTGAGCAGTGTCTGTGCTGCCCTGTCCTGGGGAGTGGCGCTGACCAGGGGACAGCCAGGACAAGGGGGCTTCATCCCCCCCAGAGCCCCTCTCCGTCGGGCGGGTTTTGCCGGCCCCGCTGTGCTGGCACCACCCAAGGTGCCATTTCCCTGCCCAGCAGCAGCCCGGGCTGGCAGCACGTCCCCGCAGCAGCAGAGCTGAGTCACACAAACACAGCCTGGAGCCTGGCACCCGCTGAGCACCGCCCGGGGCACCCAGCAGGCGGGCACGGCTGCCATCCCCTTGGCTAGGCTTTTCCTTGCTCCCGAGGGATCCTGGCGGGCTGGGGCAGCAGCCCTGCAGGGAGCCGGGGCAGCATTCCCGGGAGCTGCTGCCAGAGCCAGGTGCCAGGCAGGGAAAAGGCTGGCGAGGAGCTGAGAGCCCAGCCCGGGGCAGCAGGGAAGGGCTGGCACCTCCCTGCCAGGGATAGCAGGGAAGGGCTGGCACCTCCCTGCCAGGGATAGCAGGGAAGGGCTGGCACCTCCAGGCCAGACAGGACCCTCGGGTGGCACAGCCCCAAGGCTGGTCACCCCCTCTGCCCAGGACAATCCCAGCCGTGCTGCTCCTTCCTCTTCCTCACCCACACCCAGGTGATGCCCACTGGCTGGTGGGGCTTTCCCTGGGCTGAGCTCAGGGTTTTGCCCCAGGTGGGCACAGCTCTGCAGCTGGAGGGGCAATGCCAGCTGCACAGAGACGTGGAAAAGTCAGCTCAGCTGCTGCCAGCCCTCGCCAGGCTGCACAGAGGGCAGAGCCCTGCCTGGGCACACATCCTGGGCTCACAGGCTCTGAGCCACCTTGCCCGTGGCTCGGTCCCAGCAGACACACAGCTCAGCCCCCACGGGACCACTCCTGACTCCCCTCAGGAGAGCCACAGCCCAAACCCAGCCCAGCACCGAGTCCTTCTCACACAGCAGGCAGAAGAGACACTTTGGCTCTAAGCAGGGCTGAATAAGCCCAGTTAATTATCTTGTTAAATGGAGGGGACTCGGGGCTGACACCAGCCTGTGCAGGACAGGGAGGCACCAGAGGACACCCCCAGAGCCGCAAAAGCCTCCAGCTCCTTAAATCTGGGGGAAAAGCCATCATTTTGCTTGTCAGCCACCTAACTGTGAGGAGTTGATGGGCAAAACCAAGGAAAATCCTAGAGATGCATCCAGTTGGGAGTGCTGGGTGAGGAGGGCTCATTCTGTGGCCAAAGAAAGCACCAGGGTCCAACATGCACACTAAAGGCCAAGGTGACCATTTTTGGCTTCAAGAGCCCTGCAGTTCAACATCAGAAAGTGAAGAAGCAGCACAGAGGGAAAGGGAGGACTAACACATCCTGCAGCAGCACAGAGGCATCTGGGATAAAACCTGACAGTAAAAAGACAGGAGGAAATATCACAGGTTTCCAAGAGTCTTTTAACTAAAGTCAACATTACACACTTAATCCAGGCTTCAACCAGGGCCACATTACAAGGAAAAGTCCCCTAGGATTGAGTTTCACCTTCCCTTGCTCCTGGATGCTGCACAGAGTCC